ACGCGACTACGCTGTCGAGCTCCAAGTTGCAACAAGGGATCCTCTTGGACTGCTAAGACACCACACATTCCCCGTTGGCCTCCTAAAAATTGGCTTCAGGACTCTAGTAATTAAGTCAATTAGTTAACTTGGAGAGTTCAGATAGATATCACCTAAAGTCAGTTCCAGATGTCTCTTCTCCACACTCAAACAATTTTCAATATGTCATTGAAAGCAAATACTTTACTTTCAATATTATTGATTGGAATGTAATTCATATATATGAATTGAATTGTGGAATTTTATCTGCAACTGATCTTGATTTGGAAATTGTTTCTTGGTTGAAAGAATCCATTCCTAAGCTATGATCACGAGATTGGTCATGCCCTGGCTTGGAGTTGAACAATTTTATGATGTGTTACAATGCAAATCATTTTGAAAGTTTTAGCTGTATCATCGAGAAGTGACGCGACTCTTTATTATACATGAAGAAAGGAAGGGATGAGGATTTATACTATTTCTGACAGGGATTACAAGAGTAATTAATTTGATGAGAGGGATCTTTTCTATCTTGAGATCTCGAGATCATTATTCAAGTCGTTGTTGAGCTTTCTGCATTTATTGACAAATCTATGGTGTTAGATTCTGCTGATCACCTTTGTAGTTTGGGCTTTCACCGGAAATCAACTCTATAGAGGATTTTTTTCCCCAGAGCTCTATGACTAACAGGGTGGAGTCACTTTCTCAATTTGGAGTCAAAGAATTCAAAAGAGTGCTCATCCATCTCCTTTCTAGGTAATCAAGACCCTTTACACGTGAGACATATTGAAGCAGAGAATGTTAATGAGATTCCAGAGGTCAAACTTTCGAGCGGGTCAAACTTTTGAGCAAACCTTTCGCAGATAACCACCGCTCTATAGCGGATAATGAAGATGTTTTTGTTGAAATTTTTTTCTCTTACTCGGGAGATGAATTTCTTGTTCATGCTTTAGAGAGCGAGAAAAGAACTTAATTTCATCGATTGAGGACCTTTGGGACTCAGATACAAATTAAATCAAAATTTATGCACCAAATCTAGGTTGATCACGGGGAAAATTGCTTGCCTATTGAGAATTTAAACACCCAAATTAAAATTTACAAGAAAAAATATCAACGATATTACATGAGAACAAGATCGCGGTCACATATGGAATTGTGCAAAATTTACTGAGCTATTAGGTCTTGTAGGGAGGGGAAGGTGTTATACTCACTGTTGGTTGGGTTGGAGCTTTCTATCCCTTTTGTTTTTCTCTTGTTGAAAAAATTGTTCTACAAATTAATATTATGATTATTAATATTATTTGTAGTAAATCATTTTGAAATGAATGAGAAATTGTTTCCCGAAAGATAAGTGTGAAATTATATCTCACACGTAAACACCGTCGCCGCCGTCCGGTTTCGGGTTAGAGTCTTAAACCGTCCCCCGAGTATATGACTTAAAAATAATTCTATTTCTTGTTCTCAATTATTTGGATAATGTTTGGCAATAGGCACATCCTTTGTTTTTAGAAGGAGGGTCACAACATTTCTCTCTAAAGGTGTATTTTGGGTGTAGACTCTCCTAGCCAGAGCTTTATATATACCCATGCTTGCCTGCATTTTCATCGAATCCGAAATTCGCAAAACAGTTCCTTCATATTCTCTTTTCTTTCGTTGCATCTTTGAGTTCGCCGGAATCCCGTTGGGAGCGAAGAATCGTTCTATCCTGGGAGACGATTGCTACGTGTGTCGGGAAAAAACGTCTTAAGGAAACAACGTTTACGTTGGGCTCGGTTACAAGTAATCTTACGTTTTCCTTATTTATTTATTTATTTATTTATTTATTTATTTATTTATTTATTTATTTATTTATTTATTTATTTATTTATTTATTTATTTATTTATTTATTTATTTATTTATTTATTTATTTATTTATTTATTTATTTATTTATTTATTTATTTATTTATTTATTTATTTATTTATTTATTTATTTATTTATTTATTTATTTATTTATTTATTTATTTATTTATTTATTTATTTATTTATTTATTTATTTATTTATTTATTTATTTATTTATTTATTTATTTATTTATTTATTTATTTATTTATTTATTTATTTATTTATTTATTTATTTATTTATTCATTTATTTATTTATTATTTCATTTGCATGCAGCATATTAGTACACACATATATAACATATGTCCCTTATTTTCATTTTTCCATGTTTCTGTGTTGTATTTCCCTTTCTCTTTTATTAATGAAACAATCTTTTCTAAAAAATGTAGAAATTAAATATATATTACATATGTAAGTTTGGAGTATCACCGTTGCACCATTTAAAGTTTAGGGTATTTATATAAATTTTTCCTTTGACAGGGAAATTATCTTTGAAACGATCAAATAAGATTATAAGAGCATTTTCAATGCAAAAAAGGATGACACCCCATCTCCGAGGGCCCCCAACACCGACCGGACATTTAGATGGGAGCCGTGGTCTCATGTATGATTCCAACGAATTGAAAATAATGGGTATCCATATTCTCCTCCCGGATCAGTCCTAAGACATTTAATTGGATTACCCAATTGCAATTCAACCTCAGGTTTATACACTTTAAATTTCTTTAAAGCTTCATCCTTAGTGTGTAATAAATACACATAACAAAATCGAGTTGAATCATCAATAAATGTAACAACATACTTCTTATTGCCAAGAGAAGGAGTTGAGTGTAAATCACATAAATCGCTATGTACATGATCCAAAATATCCGAAATGGGTCTCTATCTCTCTCCTATGCCACATCACTACAATGATACAATCCACTCTCCTGCCCGTTGAAGATGATCAACCATCTCTAATGCAACAATGTGCATGGTACATGGGTATGACACGAGAGATAGACACATACAAATAAATAATTGATTTCATGGTTTTATATAATTTGTGTAAAAATATCAACCACAATGTCTATATCTAGATATTCTTCTTGACATTGTGGAGAAAAACTTATCAAAAACATATAAGACCGTTGAAATAAGAAAATATATATTTTTCCTACTAATATTTGTGTGTCTATCTCTCTCATGCCACATATGCACCGTGCTAGTTGGGGCACTGGAGATGCTCTCAAAATCTACTCTCAACCAATGCTCTAAGGGCTTGTTTGGTTTGGGATAATCTCACATGAAGGCTAGAATGTGATGCAAGGAATGTTAGATGTCCTCCATGTTTAGTTCACTAGATTGAGAAAAATCGGGAAAGTTACATTCCCGGGATGTAATACGGAGGGAAATGTTCAACCCATCCATGCATTAGGTTATTTGACATTCCCATGGATGACATCATTTTTTCCGAAAAAACCCTCAATTAATTATCTCTTTTCATTTAATTTCTTTATATATCCAACTTTATTTAATCAAATATGATTTTTTGCCACATTATAAAACTTTTAATGTAGTTTCTTAATATGTAAATTTTGTTTACTAAAAAAAATCTTATTATTAACAAAGATTAGTTAATTATATGGTCAATCAATATCGTATATTGTGTGACAACCTTTTAAGTGGGACGACAGATGGAGTATGTTTATTATCACTTGATCTTTAATTCGAAAACAAGTTTTACAAATAACTTGAACACTTTTTTCGAATTGATAATAAATACATTTAGATTACTATTTGGACAAAGTTTTTTTAATTTCTGTATTGGATCTACAACATTTTATAATTAAACATACTTTACTTAAGAAAATCAATTAGTTTTGATTTCATCAAGTATTAAGATATTACTACCTCCGTTTTTTTAATCTTCACAGTTTGACTTCACACAAAATAAGAAAAAAAATTTGACTTTACTGTAGAGTACACTGTTGAGGCACTGTTTGACACTGTTTGGCACTGTAGAGACACTGTTTGGCACTGTTGAGGCACTGTTTGGCACTGTTTTGATGTAGATTTCTTTGCCAAAAAAGGAAATAAGGAAGTGTGAATTTTATTTTAGACCGTCCCAAAAAGGAAACTGCGAAGTTTATTAAAAACCGGAGGGGTATTTTTTTTAAAATTTCAATTACTTTAGATGTAGGCTATAATAGATTTACTGTGTTAAGAGACAAAATTTAAAGAACATTAAAATAATTCATCAAATCTGCAATATAAAATATCTTTCAACTGAATAAATTAATTTCACATCCTCTTAGAATGTTTTTACTTGGACTGTTTCCAGTCTTAAACCAAATTTAAATAGATTAGACTAGACTCAAACAGACCAGATCAGACTTCTTTAGCTACAAAATACACAGATATCAGACTATACATAAATAGATCAAACAAACAAATTACAGTTCAAATAAAAACATCCTTAATTTTAACCAAACATACAGTAGAATAAATCCAAAAATTCTCATAAATGTAACATAGTCAATTAGTCACTCATCTAACCATCTTAACATTCACTTGATAATCCCACAGTTCCTCATTTTTTCCACATTGTTCCTCTTCCGAATCGAAGAGAGAGCAAAGTATAGCAGCTCAATAATCAATATCCCTCTGCTTCTGGCTGCCAGCATCGGGCTCCGCCTTGATTTTTTTAGTAGTGCCCATCCGGCCATCCCTCAACCGACAACATTACTCTCAAAAGCCAGATTTCCCTCTGGTTGCTTTTGCAGTGAAGACCATCCCGAGCTCGCAACTTCTTGTATCAGATTACTTATTTGGCTTCCTGGTGCTCAAGACTATCATTGTTAATCCGTTCTTGTGAGGTAAGATTTTATTTTGAATTCTTCAATTCCTGATAAATTCATCTCCTTGAGTCTATCCCTGATGGCTTGACGGTGAAGTTTCACCCCACCCCAGCCCCCAAACCCCTGAATATTTTGATATTGAAAAATGAACAGAAAAGTTCACTATTATTATTGGTGGGGATGAATTTTTTTAATTATTCTTTTGATGTGACATTTCCCTTCTATTACAGACCGAAGATGGTCTACGGATCAACCGAGTTTGAGTACGCGTTTGGCGTATAGACAGACATATAACTTTCAATTTGTTTTTTTTTACTTAAAAGAAATTTTCCATCTACTTCTCCGGGAGTCTGGTAACAGCTTACATCTTACATCTCATGTATCCATTAGTTCAGGAAATTTCCCGGTGAAGAAACCAATTAAGCAAAAGCCTCACATTTCGATCATATTTAATGGCTCACCTGTGGTCAAGTCAACACAGTCCCAATCAGTGGGTATAAACCTATGATTCATACCTTTTGTTGGGTTTCTATTGTCTTTGAATAGTCCCACCCAAGAAGGCTTGCTACACATAGAAAAGTGCAACCTTTAGGACTTGTATGTTTTGTGTATTGCCACCTTGAATCATACTTTTTCTATAAATAGAATCAATTATTTCTGTAATCATAAACTCAAACCACGGTGGTCACATATATGTGCATTCTTTTTTCTAAAATCAATTGAAACCATGGCCTACAATGATTTGCTTTACCAAACAAGACTTGGGCTCCGTTTGGAATCATAATCGGATGAATGCTCACACTCAGCAGGTTCAGACTTAATTATTTCTTTCTTCCCGAAAGTTGAGCACATTTGTCAATATTAGCCAAATAAACTTACTAAAGTGGTACTTAGTTTTGTTTTGTAACTCTTGTTTCAAATGTCTCAGATGAACTCATAATAATTTTAAAATACGGAATAGAAAGATGATATAACAGCTTTCCTTTTGGGATGAAAATGGTATAAAGGGTTCGAGTAAGAATTCTGTTTGAAATGATATTTACAGCATTGCGGTGATAAAAAGGTGATATGAGTTTGAGATGATCTTAGAGCCTGTAATTTTCTCAAGTACATATGGGATTAAGAATTAGGATATATTTCACAACAGCCTTGTCAATCGTGATTATATAGCAACTTTGATCACAATTATCGGTGGCCTTTATGACCTGTTTTTCTTTCAATTTTAAGCCTCACATATGCTAAAGAGGATATGCACCATATCCTTCAACCTTTTCATTTGTTAAAGTTCTGAGTTAATTCATAATTGAGCCGTGTTATCTTAACAAGGTCATATTGCACATGGGCCCCACATTGTTTTGTTTTTTCTCAGCAGGTTTTGCATGTAATGTACTTGCGTAGCTTCCTAATTGGATTATGAACTGATCATCTCCAATTCTACCTGAATAATATGGGCAGACAAAATGCTTTCCTGTCTAAGGCAATCGTCATCATCCATAACAACCAGAAATACCCAATTTTCACAGTCAAGCATGGACGGTAATTTTCTTAAGCTCTCCCAGTTTTAATGTTTTGCAGCTTTGGTAAATATAAGAACACTGTACATATCGTTGAGTGATGTTTCATATCGACTAACTATGAGTGAACTCCTTATTAAGTGATGGACATTGCAGAGTTCTTTAGTGTTGAGTTAATACATATTTTGCTTGTAGGGATTTCAGCTGCAAACACACCAAGGTCAAGTGACCAAGCCACACCTTCCTCTGTCAACCTCACCCTAGAATATACCCTCGCCATTAAAACCGCTTCCTATTGTGAAATATGGTCCAAGATTCACTACAAAGTCTCATCTTACCATGATGATGGAGAGGAGGAACCACCCCAAGTAGATATACAAGAGATCCTTAAACCAAGTCATGAATGTGTCAAAGATGCACTTTCCCACATTAGACCCAATGACACCTTAAGCCAATTTGTCATCAACTACTTTGAACATAGTGAACAAACGTTTCGGTTCTGTCTTTTCCTTGCCCAGTGCATAAATCGCGCTCACCGCTTGTATTCCCCTCTTCATAAGCTCATTGATCTATTTTCCATAGATCCTGAAACCCTTACAAACTCTGCTCATAGTAACAAGGTTGATCCTAACTTATCCCCAACCCATTGTGAGTGGGTATTTGATGCCTTTCATGAGTTCGAGAAACTAGACAATCCCTTCCCGGGCCCAGAATCCCATAGCTTCAGCAACATGCATAGCTCCTTCACTCAACTCAAGCAATATCTTGATGTTCACCTGCAAAAGTCGCGCTCTAAGGTACTATTATGAATATTATTTATATTTTTTGTCACTATATTATTTCTCCCACCTCTCCAGAAATTTCAATCACATGGTTTTTACTTTATTATTTTTTGGGAAAAGGGTCAAATAGAGTCTTCTACTATTTCCAATTCGTCACTTAAGCCCTTCTTTTAACAAAGCATCATATAAGTATGCTTACTTTTTAAATACAATCAATTAGGCCATCAAGTATGCATTTCTAGGGTTTTAATTAATTAGAAGGAGTCCAGTTTGATGTTATCTTTATATGGAGTATTTTATTTATTTATTTATTTATATTTATTTATTGTTTCATATTAGTAATAGAAGTATTAGAAGTTACAGTTTTAGTTAGAGTAGAACTCTCATGTAAAGGGCCTATTTATACTTTTTTTCAGCATTAATAAAACCAGCGATCATTAGAAGAATTAATCCCAGAGAGAAGTCACAGACTCCCCCCCCCCCCTTGCGCTCTTACCGCACTCTTCCAACCACGGGTAAGAAGAGGCGTAACCCTAGCAGGCAGGTTACCACCTCAACCGGGCACCCTGCTACCCCAAGTAATCCCTGGACCCGTTCTCAGTCCCAGAACCCTAACAATTTGGTATCAGAGCCGTCAAGATCCATGGCGCCACCGCAAGATGATTTTTAACCACTATGATGGAGTTTATGGAGGCTATGACTACTAGGGTAACCGCCATAGAAGGGCAGATTGTGATAGGTATCGCAGATAGACAGAACAATTTAAGTAAGGGAAATGAGTAATATCTATAATAAGCAAGTTTCAGATTGTATTAATGGCAGAAAATAGATGAAGAGATACAATCAGGACATATTCGAGAGTGCCCTACCCTCCAAAAGACTTCCCAAGGTCTGCCTGCCTATTCTCTCACTCCCACTTTATTATTTATATACGGCCCAGCCCATACAATAGTTCCCCCTCTCATTTAGACAGCCCAACCCTTCTCCTCTTATACACCTTATCAAAGTACTTGACGTTATTAATATTATTATTATTATTATTAGGCCTTATGCTCATAGTCAAGTCTTCATCATCACTCCCCCCTTGAAGATTCACCTTGTCCCCAAGGTGACAATTGGGAAACAGTGTCTGCAATCTGCTCACAGATTCCCAGGAGTCCTCAAAATCTGGCAGCTCCTTCCAGTGCACCAGTGCTTCTCTCTCTCCAGCTGCATTCACCCTAATTCCCAACACCTTTTTTGGGGTGGCCTGAAGCTCCCACTCCTCAGAGAAGCATTTAGGTAAGGGTTGGCAGGGAATGTTAGGTGCTACTGACTTCTTCAACAGGGAAACGTGAAAGACGGGATGTACTGCACAATCTTCCGGTAATTTCAATTTGAAAGCAACAGGATTGATTTTCTCAATCACCTCAAAGGGTCCATAGAACCTTGGACTCAATTTCTGGTTCACCCTTTTTGCCAAGCTTTTCAGTTTGTAGGGTTGAATCTTTAAATATACTTTATCCCCCAACTCCAGTTGTACATCCCTTCTTTTTCCATCTGCCTGTTGCTTCATTTTATTCTGAGCTGTTGATAATGTCTTCTTTAACTCGTCTAGCATTCTGTTTCTTTCCGCAGTAAGTCTTGATACTTCTGCATTGGCGGTTATAGTAACATCCCCCCGAATGATGATTGGAGGTTCTTGACCATAGAGAGCTTTGTAGGGAGTGTTCTTGATGGAAATATGATAGTTCGTGTTGTACCAGAATTCTGCCCATGGGATCCATTTCGGCCACTGTTTAGGCTTATTCCCAGTGGTGCATCTAAGGTAGGTTTCAATGCATCTATTCACCACCTCTGTCTGACCATCCGTCTGTGGATGATAGGCTGTACTGTATTTGAGTTTAGTACCAGCCATCTTGAACAGCTCAGACCAAAAAGAACTCATAAAAATAGCGTCTCTGTCTGAAACAATAGTCTTCGGAAACCCATGCAATCTAACTATCTCCTGCACAAATATTTCAGCCACCTCTTTGGCAGTATAAGGATGTCCCAGAGCAATAAAATGTGCAAATTTAGTTAGTCTATCCACCACCACCAACACTGTATCCTTCCCGTATGCCCTAGGTAAACCTCCAATGAAGTCCATACTCAAATCTGTCCAAATCTGACTTGGAACTGGTAGAGGTTGCAGAAGGCCCGCGGGATTCAAGGCTTGATATTTATTCCTCTGGCAGGTTTCACAACTCTGAACATATGCTTGAATTTCTGCCCTCATTCCATACCAATAAAACAGATTAGCTATTCTTTTCATAGTTCTGAAATAACCTGCGTGTCCACCAGTGCTAGAGTCATGAAACTCCTTCAATATCACTTGGATTCTGGAGGAACCTTTAGGTATCACCAGCCTTCCTTTAAAATACAGTAACCCCTTGATTAATTTGAAATCTGGCTGAGCTCCCGGTTGTCCAATGATCTGTTGAATGATAGTATTACACCTTTCATCTTTTATAAGCTCTTCCTCTAGGCCCTCCCATTCTTGACATGTCACCATAGATAAAGATTCCAGACACATCTTCCTTGAGAGGGCATCAGCAGCCTTGTTCTCTATGCCCGGCTTATATTTAATTACAAAGTTATACCCCATCAATTTGGTAACCCATTTCTGTTGTTCTTCACCCATCAACCTCTGCTCCGTTAAAAATTTTAGGCTCTTCTGGTCCGAGTGTATCTCAAATACTCTTCCTAGCAAGTAGGGTCTCCATTTCTGAACTGCCAGAACTATGGCCATTAACTCCCGTTCGTAAACAGACTTGCTCTGATTTCTAGGGGACAATTCTTTACTCAAATAGGCAATGGGTCTACCCTCCTGCATTAATACTGCCCCTACTCCTTTACCCGAAGCGTCTGTCTCCAGTACAAATGTTTTATTGAAATCTGGAACTCTTAATACAGGCAGAGTAGTCATTGTCTTCTTTAGTACTTCAAAGGCCTCTGTAGCTTTCTGGTCCCACGTGAATGCTTCTTTCTTAAGGAGCTGAGTCAGGGGTGCTGCAATCTTACTATACCCCTTGACAAACTTTCGATAGTATCCGGTCAACCCTAGGAATCCCCTGAGTCCCTTGACATCCTTAGGTACTGCCCAATTTAGCATGTCTGCAATTTTGGAAGGATCTGCTGCCACTCCTTCTCCGGAGATTATATGCCCCAAATAAGATAATTCAGATCGCCCAAAGCTGCACTTCTTCTTGTTGATATACAACTGCTGTTCCTTGAGGGTCTGTAGAACTGTTCTTAGGTGTCCTTGATGCTCTTCCATGGACGGACTGTAAATAAGGATGTCATCAAAGAACACTAAAACAAACCTTCTTAGATAGGGTCCCAAGACTTGATTCATGAGAGCCTGGAAGGTTGAGGGTGCGTTTGTGAGTCCAAAAGGCATCACAAGGTACTCATAATGTCCTTCGTGCGTTCGAAAAGCTGTCTTATGCACATCAGATTCCTTCATCCGAATCTGATGGTACCCTGACTTCAGATCCAGCTTAGAAAACACCTTAGCAGTACCTAATTCATCTAATAACTCTTCTATTACAGGAATGGGAAACTTGTCCTGAACTGTAATTTTATTCAAGGCCCGGTAGTCACCACAAAATCTCCAGCCTCCTTCTTTTTTTCTGACCAACAAGACGGGGCTGCTGTATGGACTGGTGCTGGGTTGGATTATTCCTGAACTCAGTAACTCCTTGACTATAACTTCAATTTCATTCTTTTGATAGTGCGGGTATCTGTAAGGTCTAATATTGGGAATTGTTGCTCCTTCCTTGATATTGATAGAATGGTCACAGTCCCTCCTTGGAGGTAGACCTTGAGGAATCCGGAATAATTCAGCATATTCTTCTACCATTGATGTCAATAGATTCTCCTGCTCCTGATTCCCAGTAACTTCCAGAGGTTGCAGATCACAAGTGAGATAATAGCCTTGTCCTTGCTGTTGTATTGTTTTGACCAAAGTTTTCAAAGATACTTGAGACTGACCCAAAGTGGGATTCCCAGTTAATCTCTTCTCTTTCCCTTCTTCCTTCCATCTCAAAATGAGTTTCTGGAAGTTAAATTTAACTTCCCCCAACAAAGTTAACCATTCCAACCCCAAAACTATATCTGTTCCCCCTAGCTCAAGGATATAGAAATCTTGAGTTATCACATAACCCTGCACCCTCAGTTGTAATCCAGTACAAATACCACTATTTCTTATTTTCACTCCATTCCCCAATTCCACCTGAAACCCTCCAATCTGTTTAAAAGGTAATGCCAATTCCTTTACTAAGCTCTGGGATATGAAATTGTGAGTGGCTCCACTATCAATTAAAATCACCACTGATCTGGCCTCTCTCTCTTTAATATTTCCTTCCATCTTGAATGTTCTCCGAGTAGTTATCCCTTCCTTACTCATCACCGACAGCTTCAATGTTTTGTATTCCCCAAAGTGTTCTTCCTCCTCATGGTGTTCTTCCCTTGGACTGGCCGACTCCTCAGGTTCTTCTTCAGTTGGATCAAGGAGCACAAATTGGTAGTGTTTCAATTTGCATATGTGCTCTTTGTTCCATTTATCCCCACACTTGAAGCAAAGTCCCTTTTTGCTTCTTTCTTCCAATTCAGTTTGTGAAAGTCTCTGGCCAGATCTTCCACTTGTATTGATGTATCCTGTATTCCCAACCTTATTTGCTGGAATACTTTTCTCTGCCCCAAGTGGTGCACTGGAATAGTTTCTAATTCTTGTCCCCTCCATCCCGTTCAGTGGTCTCACAAAGCTACCACCCTTGTCCTTCCAACCCCTTTTGTCTTCCTCCTTGTATTTTTCCCCTCTCCAAGCCTTGTTTCTCTCCTCCAATAACAATGCCCTGTCCATGATCTCTGCCAATGTTCCAGAATGATATAATTTAAGATCAGCACGTAATTCCTCCTTTAATCCATTTAAGAATATCCCCTTCAACATCTCCGGATTGGTATTTTTCTGGGACACAACCACCAATTCAAATTTCTCCCGATATTCCATCACACTTCCTGTTTGTTTCACGCTTAACAAAGGTCCAAATGGGTTTTGCACCATCTCCGGCTGAAATCTTCTAATCAAAGCTTCCTTAAACTCCTCCCAGTTGCTCTCAACAGTTTGTTCCTCCCACCAATGAAACCAGTTCAGTGCTCGACCCTCCATGGCCACCATAACAACAGGAACTCGGTCTTCATACGTGATGTTGTTCAATTTAAAAAACCTTTCCGCTCGAATAATCCACCCATAAGCTTCATCACCACTGAACACTGGTAAATCTACTTTTCTACCGGTTTTCAATAGAGCATCCTTATCCATATTCTTAAATCTGGAGTTCGCCGATGGAGTTAGATCGAAATTACCTCTCGTAGCTGAGGAATTCCGACTCTCTTCGTGGCTCTTCTTCTTAGGTGATCGCGATCGCCCTCGATCGTGATGTTGTTCCCGATGCGTCACCAGATTTCGTAGCTCATCCATCCTCGCGTCCATCCTCGCATCCATCCTTTGTTCCACGTCTAGCATCCAGTTCCGCATCTCGTCGACCATCGATCGCAGATCCTGGACGTTGTTTTCCACGGATTCCACTCTGTGTTCCATCCGTCCTCTTGTCCAGGTCATTCACCGGTCTTCCAGGAAGGCGCTCTGATACCAAATGATAGGTATCGCAGATAGACAGAACAATTTAAGTAAGGGAAATGAGTAATATCTATAATAAGCAAGTTTCAGATTGTATTAATGGCAGAAAATAGATGAAGAGATACAATCAGGACATATTCGAGAGTGCCCTACCCTCCAAAAGACTTCCCAAGGTCTGCCTGCCTATTCTCTCACTCCCACTTTATTATTTATATACGGCCCAGCCCATACAATAGTTCCCCCTCTCATTTAGACAGCCCAACCCTTCTCCTCTTATACACCTTATCAAAGTACTTGACGTTATTAATATTATTATTATTATTATTAGGCCTTATGCTCATAGTCAAGTCTTCATCAGATTGTTTGCTCTGTCTCTGGCATTCCACAAACTTGATTCCAAATCAATAGAAACACATGAAGAGCCACCCGATAACAACCTGATATCACATAGCACCTGGAAGCCACAATATGTGAAGATGGAATTTCCTGTGTTTGATGGCACCTATGACCCTACCAGTTGGTTGAAAAGGTGTGAAAAATTCTTCTAGAACCAAGAAACTCCTGCTGTTGAAAAGGTCATTATCAGCAGAGATGCTAGCATTGATCATAAGAGATATATGACTCAATCAGAAAGATTGAAGATGAAGTTGGCCTATGCTTTCTAGCTGTTGATGAGCCTAGAAACTATGAGGAAGCAGCTGTGGATAAGAACTCGGAGGAAGCCATGAAACAAGAAATCACCTCAGTAGAGAAGAATGGAACCTGGGAACTTACAGATATCCCACAGAACCAGAAAGCCATTGGACTATCAAGAGGTATTTACACTTGTTGCAAGATTAGAGACTCTTCTGGCCTTAGCTGCACAAAAAGGTTGGGAAGCACACCATATGGATGTTAAGATAGCTTTTCTAAATGGTGATTTGGAGGAAGATGTATTTGTGAAGCAGCCAGAAGGTTTTATAGACAAGAATAATCCAAACAAAGTCTTTAAACTTCATAAAGCCTTGTATGGATGAAAACGAGCACCAAGATCATGGAACCTCAAACTGGATAAGTGTCTGAAGTCACTAACTTTTGAGATTTGTCCTTATGAAGATGTGTATATCAGGCAGAATGAGCATCATGTTATGGTAGTAGGAGTATATGTTGATGATCTCATTCTGACTGGATCAGGTGGTGAGATAATACATAGTTTCAAACTTGAAATGCCGAAAAGTTTTGAGATGTGTGATCTGGGCTTGTTAAGTTACAATCTTGAGATAGAAGTACAACAAACATGTACAGTATTAGTTTGTGCCAGACAGGATATGCTAAGAAATCTTTGAAAAGCTTGGAATGGTTGAATGCAATCCTTGTTATATTCCAATGGAACCAAGGAAAAAGTTGCACAAGTAGGAAGGAGATCCTATGTCAAATCCTACATTCTACATGAGTATAATAGGTAGTTTGAGGTATCTTGTCAATACAAGACCAGACTTGGCCTATTCAGCAAGAGTGGTAAGCATATATATGGTAGCACCAAAGGCACACTTAATCTAGGTTGTGTATACAAGAAATATCAATCAGGTGATGAACTATATGGGTACAGTGACAGTGATCTAACAGGAGATGTTGATGGCAGAAAAAGCAACACAGGTATTGCATATTTTTGGTGTCACAAAAACAAAGGGTGGTGGCCTTATCCTCGTGTGAAGCAGAATATATAACAGCTACACCTGGAACATGTCAAGGGATCTGGCTTTGAAGACTAATGAAGAGTCTACCGTTCAGGGAGAAGAAGCCAATATTGTATGTTGATAACAAATCTGCTATCTCCCTAGCTAAGAATCCAGTATACCATGAGAAGGGCAAACATATTGATACAAGGTTTCATTTCATACGTTAATGCATTGAAAGAGATGAGATCAGTCTGGAATATGTGAGAACTGAAGAGCAGCAAGCTGACATTCTCACAAAACCACTCTCAAAGCAAGGGTTCGTTCATCAGCGTGAGAAATTGGGCTGAGTTTATAAAATGAAGATGCAAAGTTTAAGGGGGTGAATGTGGAGTTAAACTTTGCTAAGTCATGTTTAGTTTGATACGTGGAATTTCCATCTTACTTAGTATTTGTTATAAATAATTTTACGTAAAGGCAGTTATAGTTGCATCTTGCATGCATGATCAAGTAGTGGGTTAGTGGGTTAAAAGTGGTGTGAGTAACTGCATTGTAATCATCAGTTGTTGCTTCGTTTATATATGAGAAAATGTGTGAATCAACTTTGCTCACCACAAAACAAAGGAAAACCATCTGTCCATAGTTTACTGCATGGGTACGTATGCATGCTTGTGTTTGTGCTTAGCATTCAAAGTATATTCAAATTCTCAACATGGTGATCTAGTATTACAGCTACCCTAATTCTCTTCTTGGTGGTCGGGACTAGTATAAATAGAGGTGCTATATTCCTAAGAGATTTTCTTTTCATCTCCCGATCACGCCCATAACATATTCTCTCATTCATCAATTGCAGTAACTAACCTTTGCTACCTACTATCTGTACAGGTGCAACTTATCCGTGGTGCCACCAAGGGCACTGCCATATGCTTAATTGTAACTACTTTTGGGGTAGTCTTAACCGCCGTTTTTATAGCTGCTCATGCTCTGGTTGCCTTGGTTGCTGCTCCAGTGTGCCCTCTTCTTATCCCTTCTAAGATGACTCAGGAAGAAATGGCCCATCTAGTCCAACTCGATGATGCAGCAAAGGGTTTGTTCGTCCTTCACAATCACCTGGAAACTGTTGATTGTTTGGTGGCTCGTTTGCATAATGCGATGGAGGACTATAAGCGCCTTGTCCGTTTCGGGATTGAAAGAGGAAAGGACAGTTATCCCATCCAAGAGGTCATTTGTCAACTCCAAAAAAAACACGACAATTTCCTTGAACAGTTGACTGGTCTTGAGGAACATTTGTGCCTTTGTCTTGCTGCAATAAACCGGGCCCGGTCTCTCCTCCTTAACTATTTTCATCTTCATCAACATCATTCTTCATAGTTTGTTTTTTAACACATAACGGCAAATTGTTCTTTACCGCTTCCATTGGAGGAAATTCTATATTTGTTTCACGTGAAACCAGTTTTGTTGAAATGACTGAATTATTTTCATAACATATTGTAATTAGTCAAAGAAAATAGTGGTAGAAATGTCAATTTTATCAGTATATAGCTAAAAAAAGACTCGTGAGCTACTGATTTTTAGTTATAAAAATTACTTTCATCAAACGTGCTCTCAAAGTTGAGGCATTTGTAATACTTCTCATTCAAATGACCAAAACCACGATAGTTTCATTCAATTTTTCTTTGGTTGATCCCCGAATATTTCTTTTTTAGGCTCCCTTTTCTGATTTAGATAATCCTTTCCTTTGTATCACCATCCATCAGATTTTTAAGTAAGATTATTAAGTGATTAATCTATTGACATGACAAATTATTTAGGGGACATGGTTTAGTGAGAGAGATTATTGAGCAGAATTAATTGATAGAATAATCTGAGATCAAAATATGAAACCAGATTATTTTTAAATTATTTATGAAATTAGAGTTAATTAGTTAATACACACAAAAGATCAGATTATTTCGGGATGATGGTTGAACGTAATCAAAGGTGATGAGATTATTTCTAAAACAATTATGTGGCAAATATTAAAAGATAAGAATCACAAAAAATCAGATTATGTTAGAAGCATGAATATGGATGCTCTTAGTTCCTTTGTGTTTTCAACGATCTTGCTTGCAAAGATACCTTCATTGCCAAGTGACTACATTCTTTCACTGAATACTATAAAATTTGAATTTGTAGTCCAGTCTTCTATTAAAAACACTTCCAATTTCCGGTCCCAACACTTTCAAATTCCGGTCCTAACATATTCTACTCATTGGAAAGCTACAAATTCAACGAAACCCCATCAAGAAACAAAAAAATTCTAGTCACAACAAACAGAGAACTTAAAAAAATACTTTGTAGTACTTGCACCGTTACTCAGAGTAACAGACAAACAAGTAGAGAGAATATAGGACGAGGAAATTGTCTTCTGAATTCAACTAAGTGATTTGCTACAAATCTAAGTACATTACTTTCAAAAACTGTTTTTCAACAGACAATTTAAACACGCAACTCAATCAAAACAATTTTCTTGGGCTTAGTTTCTTGTTTTATTTTATTTCCCTTTGTGTTCTGTTGTGTATTTTCTCTTTGTACTCTTACCTTTATCAATAAAATCTTGAGCTCTTTTTTTTTCTAAAAAAAGTTGAAGTAAGAAAAACAAAGAAACTCCAAGTCACAACACCACACCAAGTTACTCTTTTCTTATGGAATTTCACTAATGAACCGAATTGGTTCAAGAGCTATTCAGTCATACTCTACCCACACTTGAGATACCCTCTTAAGATTTACGGTTTGTACATTACGAAGTAATTCTAACCTCCCAACTAAGATTAAGCTAAAAAAATATCTTTAAATGAACTAGTCTAAGAGCTTAATAAGTCTGAGTGAGTTTTGAGTGAAGTGATAGATTAGCGCTTCCTCTTTGCTAGATCTTCGTATAAGTTTGTGGTGATTGCTCTAGCTCACATGCTTCTTCTGCTTCACACTTCTTCTGTATTTGTAGACCATTTGATGTTAAATATCTCATGTTGGCTGAGGAAATTCAATCTTCACCGTTGATTAATCCACTTGGTTTGACTATTGAAGAGCATGAACTTCTTTTGTCCTCCTATGGTGTGTCTGCAACTCTTTTTGTAATTATACTACCTCCTTATTGTAGTGAAGTATTTTGAGGAGTATGTTTGGATATACAAAATCATTCGTCGTATTTTCGTTTTGATTTTAAGACAATCCATCCAATCGCTCATTTAATACTTCTACTGTTTGAGAGTTCCATGCAAATAATATTGAGAATTCTTTTCTTTTCAATAATTCTGAAGTCTTCAAAAATATGTAAAAGCCATATGTTTGTTCGCAATATGTAGCAGTAATTTTTCTTGGCCTTTGGTTTTTTATTTATCTCCTTCAGAATTACTGTGGGTCCCATGAGAAGTAACACTTTGTGATTTTGACTCTGTTGCGAGAGAGATATTTGTAAAGAAAATTTTGATAGTTAACTTTGGTTTGTACAACATACTTTGGTTGGCAGTTCGCTAGTCCTGAACTTGTGAGCCGGCTTGTGAGATACACTAGCAGGCTGCTGCTGAAGGAAAAATTCCAGCTAATCTTTTCTCGTACCTTTTCTTTTTCTTTGATGCTTTTTATCTTTTTAATACTCTTATTTGTGTTTTCTTTTTGTATGAGTATTTTTCTTCTTTTTTGAATTTAAAAGCAACAGAAATTACGTCAATCCAAGTAAATAAATAATACGTAGTAACTACCACGTTTAAGATTGGTGTGTACATAGTATAAATTATGGTTCACTGTTAAATTCATGGACGAAGCCATAAACAAGTACCACTTATGTCAAGTAATACTACAAATGCAACATTATACTAAGTAAGGAGTATAAACTAAGGGAAAAAGTAATTTAAATATCTCAAACTTTGGAGGGGTGTGAACAGTGGACCCCTCCATGCACATGTAATATGCATCATGATTATATACTTTTTCACAAATGTAATTTTATAATGCAAAATATATACATAATTTGAAACACACAAAACATTTATAAGGATGCAATTAAAATTAAATTATATTGTATCGGTGCAATATTTATTTCACAAACAGGGATGGATTTGGGGGGGGGGGGGGACCGCCCCCTTGGACTTTCAAAAATTTCTATAATATATATAGTATTTTTCATAAAATTTTAATACTTTAATTAGATATTCATGTGTTCGCCCCCTTACCTTTTGATTTTTAAAACTAATATTTAGCCTTACATATTGTAATGCATAATTGAAAATTTAAAAGAAGAAACATCTAAAATTATTTACATAACTTAAGCAAATAAACAATAGAACAACTCATTGTTTAAAACTTATGATACTTATTTTGTTCAAAAAAAAACTTATGATACTTATTATATAAACATTAATGTTTATATATATCTTTATTAGATAGTTAGTACTCGAGTTCGTAAAATATCAAACGTTATTAAATACGAGACACACTAGTTAAAAAGTTTTTACATCATGTGAATTGAATCCAAAATATAGATGTTTGTTGACATTAAATTAAATTACACGTACTGTTCATCTACTTCTTACTTTTAAAAAATAATGTATTGCATTAGATAATAAACTTTAATTTATCTTAGCATAAATACAAATACAATATGCATCGTATATATAAATTAGCAATATACTTCGTAATACGTAGTATTATTTTAAAAATATTAAAATACTAATCTCATACATATTATTATAATATTAAGAAAACTCCTTGTGGCAAAAATTGCAATTCAAAACCAAATCATTATTCTGATAAGATTCATGTGGTTAAACAAGACAGAAGTTATTAAAAAGTAATGGTCGATGTTTACCTTTTAAACTTTTTATCTTCAAATAATTTGATAAAATGTTATATATCCCTTTTTATTTTCAAATAATTTTTCTCTGATTTGTCACTTCTTACTCTTCAATGTATCAGTACTCTTTTCTAGAGCACTTCAATTATAAAACCAAAGTTATCTTTCCATTGTCTAGATTTAGAGTGTACTACTAATAGATTTAAAGCTTAAGAATGTCAATGTGTATGTATTGATGGATTTTTTTTTGAATAAAACCTAGTCGCATAGCCCTACAGTAGCGAAAAAATTTCGCGCGCGCTACATTAGCGAAAAAATATTCGCCTCAATGCATGCACTAACGAAAATATTTTCCCCCCGACACTAACGAAAAAATATTTGCCCCCCTTGACTCAAAATCCTGGATCCGTCCCTGTTCACAAATGCAAATTTTATAATATTAACTACATTTTAAAAAAGGCTTAGAGTAGTTTAAATTATGTAATTATTCTGATAAATTTAAATTTGTAAACCAATAATCATGGTGTAGAAATAAGTATTAAGCATTCCTTTTGGTCTTTTGAAGCCAAGCATAGGTTTGACTTTTGTCGCAAATAACAATGGTACATGGATATAAAAAGGAGTGGATTTTGGCCTTTTGGGTTATACTGTTGAAGGGTCACAGAACGATGAAAGTTGTGCCCCAAAATGGGATTGGGGCTCTCTGTAAAATATATGGTACTCCATACCTTAGTGTGATGCGAAAGGACCGATAGGCGTAGCTCAACTGGTAGCGAGGGAGTGCCACAAGGGTTAGGTCCTGGGTTCGAATTCCGACAACTGCGATGCGAGGTTACTATGTTAAAAATGCATAGGGCCTCTGCAAGTACCGGGGACAAAGCTCCACTCTCTATCTGTCAGATTGTGATTATAGTCCAATTTACATCCTCCCATCGTGCCGTCCGGTCGGTGTTGGGGGGCCCTCAGGGATGGGGTGTCATCCTTTTGTGATGCGAAAGGAGACTCACATATCTTGCAATGTACGAGTAATTGAAAAGAAAGAAATGTCGGGCCTCCCTGGTGGGGTGCAATTGATGCACTAGTGATTTAGAGACTCCATATACAAAATAGAGCAAGGTAGTGTATCAAATTTTACCCAAGTTCATAACGAAATCAGAAGTGTTTGTGAATTTCACTTAATACATTGTAAATGAAGTCGAAACACTAGATTTAGAACTTAAAGTGATATTTCTAACGAGATAATATACGCTTGAAACCGATGAACATACAGCAAGATATGCGTGTCACAAATATTTAATTTGTTCTTTATGATTTAGCGTTTCACCGTAAATAGAACATTTTTAATTCAAATACAGTCTTAATTTGTTCTTTATGATTTAGGTAATCATCGTGTAATATTTTGAAACCGGTAAAATTTGGGATACTTATCTCACTTTCTACTAAAGTTTGGGGTATTTACACCCCATAAAATAATGATAAATATATGAATAAAATAAAATAATGAATAAAAATGTCATTTTTAATTCATCATGAGCATAGTGATAATTGTAATGAACATGACCATATTCAATTTTACACCGTATTCAATTTTACGGCAAAATGATCATGGCATTGATTTAAGTGACATGCCCCCCCCCCCCCCCCCCCCAGTAAGTTATACTTTCATGGAACGAATTCCATAAATATAATTAATTGATAAAAGTCTATTCAATCACATAACATTTTTTTAATCAATGGCTGCTTGTAAATCAATATATATATATAAAAGAGGAACTTTTTAAAAGCATACGACGCGCCACAT